AATAATTACAAAATAATATTTTAGCAATTTAATACAATACTACAAATAGTAACACTATTGACTTCCTATTGCAAGGTAATATCAATCAGATTAGGTTCCGGAAGTCATAAGTGTTGTAACATCTAATAACATTAGGGTAAATAGCTAACAATACTTTGAAAGTTGTTTTGTAGTTCTCGAAGTTGAAGGTGTAGTTGTCAAAAGAGGATACCTTGAAGCCATAGGTATAATTGTGTTAAGACCTGGTGGCTTATTACTTTGGCTGATGAACCCTAAATACTTATTGAAATCGTCTATTAAACTTCGTGTCAATTTGCCAAATGTTGGTGGTGTTACAACCAAATCAAATGAGTCGTTTCGTGTCTGCACCGGGTATCCAGGGTAGTCGGAGCTGATGGTGGAGGGCGGTGCTTCTTCTGCCTCGTCTTTTGTCATAATGCCGAAGTTTGGCGGCGTTATTGCTATATCGAAAGTCTGGTTTCGGGTGGTTGGGGGTTCCGTAGTATCAGGATAGAGTATGGGGTTAAAAGGAGGAGGTTCGTAGGGGTATCCAGGGTAGTTAGTGTTAAAGGTGTAGGGCGGCACTGTGGTCGGTGGCGTCAGTTCAGTCATCTCTTCTTCTATATATTCTTCTTCGGTAGTACGGGGTGTTGTCGATATTGTTGGCAAAAAAGTAGATGTCACATCCTCATGTGTTACGCCTTCTACTCCGGTCTCGCCCCAAAACATATCTGTGACGTCATAACTTAGAAAATTACTGTCTTCTGGGATCGGAGCGTTTTCATAATCGATTTGTGATCTGAGGATCTTCCTCTCTTTCCTTATCTCTTTCTGTACTCCACGGAGGAGGGTGTCGATTTCCTTTAGTGATTTGTGTAGGTTTCTTGTCAGGATTGTGTGGTTTAAGATTTCTGGAAGGAAATTAGAATTTAATTTATGATTTCTTTTTTAATTACGTTGCAGCAGTCAATTTCAACTTTACAACTTACTTAATTGATGGTGCAATATTAGTCAATGACTTCTTATCGCCTATGGTGAAGCGAGAGAGAGTGTCAGACTCTTACTAACTAAACACCACCCCGGTCCTACTCCTGCATAGAGCCGGAGTCCTGGTGACAAGCTAGTGTCTGCAGCTCCAGGTGTAAGTGTTAGACTACAGTATCTGCTTATGCAGACATATTTATAAAAAAGATACACGACAAAGTAATGAAATAATACGAATTGTAATATGCTTACTCTTATGGACAACTTTACAGACGAACAATTCATAATTTAGAAATAGCGTTATTAATATTACTTTCATAGCGAATTATACACTATAACGTTAATTATGAACCATTTTATGTCTTTATTTTAATCGTAACGACTGAGAATCTATTTTATATTTGGTTATAGTATAATACAATTTTGTTATTCAAGTCGATTGAACTTAAATCAATCTGCGCACTTTTATAATTTTATGAGCTGTTTGTTTAATAAAAACTACTGTTTTGTAATATATATTTTAAGGTTGGCAACACTTCGCTGTTGCAAGTGACTGTGGTTTAAAAGGCCGTTATTTCAAAAGAAGATTGGTTTAAAATAAGGTACAGTTGATGATTGTTAGCTTGTTAAAAATCAGTAACAATTCCAATGTTTATTGTCAATAAAATAGTTGTAATAATTTTATTGGATTACAAATATAAAAATAGTTGCTCGCGCAATGTATAACAAGTTTTATGATACAATAAAATGGTAGTATTTTTATATTAAAATGAAAGTGTGCGCTTGTGTTCTGCTGTTCACCATACTCGGTATTTATTTTGTCTTTGTTGCAATACAAACTTTTCATTGAATTTCTTTTATAAAATGAGTTATTATTTACACTTTTTTATCCAAAGTAAAGTATAAATAACACATTTATAATATATTTGCTATTTGTAAGCATGCGTGCGTGTATGCAATTATGCATCCTAGCTTATAACGGCCACTTTATAAAATGTATGCCTTCAGTGCAAAGCTCCGACTTTTTGATAATTTTAAATTACTATATGTACTAACTTAGAAATTAAAATAACATATTTTCATGTCACAAATAAAATTGTTCATTATTTTTGTTTTATCCAAATAGATATACGTTTAACTTACAATATGTCTAACTACACAAAACATCTCAATTCTACCTGAGCTGATTACATGTGAACATTAGCTCATGACGATACATAAGTACGTGTGTCGTGGACAAGTCAACCTCGCTACCATCAGTTGACTGGACAATACACTACATGAAAAACATATTTAATCATCACAACATCAGGACCTGACCTTTAAAAGAATAGTTATTATTCTTTTAGTCTAGTAGTTTTTGTCTAGGCAAAACCACAAAGTATGTATAACCGAATCATACAACTCTGTCTTCATTAGGACATTCCAGTGCTATGTTTTCTCCACGCTTTATAGTAAAATAAATAAAAAACTTAACCTTTATTCATTAAGTTGTTATAGTTGTAAAGAATTTCTAACAATCTGGTTAAAAAAACAAAACTATTAATAACTAAAAATCGCGGGTTACTCACGTGAATGTACAGAGAAAAGCTCTATTAGTTTCGAACCACAGAGGGGTACTTCCTCATGAGCAGTGTGCGCGGTCGCGGCGATGTCGCGCAGCTCACTGGCTAGCGTTGGCGCTCGCATCGGTATTGCTACTTGCGCATCTAGCCCACGCGGAGAACCTAACGGGTAACCGGGGCTCCGGCTCGACGTGCAGGAGAAGGAACGGGGTGGTTTTTAGTCAGTAAGAGTCTGACACTCCCTCCCGGCTCTCCTAGGCGGGAGCAGTCATTCGATGATTCCCCCCCCCCCTTAAAAAATTATTTAATGTGTTCGTTTCACTTTTACTTGCCTATAATGCGCAATGCGATTTTGCGCGTGACTTAAACCGCAGCATCCCTTGTGCTCGCAAGAGGATGACGCCGAAAGAACTCTAACACTTTCTCTTCAAGTTCACCACAGTAGAAATAAATCGACTGTACCTACACTGCATCCTGGATGGTATGATGACTCACTCGCACATCGAACCTCTGGTACAAATTAACCGCATGAGCTGTTGTAGAGTTACACCTGCGGTAGCACTACACCATTTCAAGATATTGTTGATTTGAATTTCGTCGGTTGGGAGGCATTTTTATGTAGCGCGCGCTTATCCCCGACACCGAAACTAACGTCTGGGTAGGCGGGGGTGGATTGAGCTACTGGCGGGCGGGCGGCGCATGCGACGAGTTCTGGCGCGTGCATGCATTGGCGTGCTCCTCGCCGCCAAGCCGGCGCCAGTGTCGGCGCCGAGATGTCTCGTTCCCGAACGCCCCGTCGGCCGTCATACACTGTTGCCATTCTTCTTTCTGTTCTTCTTTCAATCTGCCATTATCCCGATAAGAATGGCAACAGTGTAACACGGGACGCGCCCGCGTTTTGCGAATTGATTGAATTCTATATTTGAGTGAATTCATAGACATAACTATATTTGAGTGAATTCATTCCATGCGGTAATTCATAAACAGTTTGGTATTGTGTACAATATGTTTTTGTCATGTACCCTCCTGTCTCTCGAGGTTGTGTTATTGTATTGTCATACGCGTGCATTAGGTAAATACCATTGATGTTATAAAACATTTACAAAATATATTTCAAAGACCTAGTTGTTACCATTCTAGAAAGTATTGTTCTCTCAATCTTATACTATTATATACAGCGGAAGAGTTTGTTTTTTTGTTTGTTTGTTTGTTTGTTTGAACGCGCTATTCTCCGTAACTACAAGTCTGATTTGAATAATTCTTTTTGTGTTGGATAGCGCATTTATCGAGGATGGCTATAGGCTATAAAACATCACGCTACGACCAATAGGAACTGAGCAGAGCGTGAGAAACCGCGCGGAAGTAGCTAGTTGTAAATAATATTCTGTCTCAATGGAAGGGACTAACATCTAAGGTACAGGCTCGGCCTAGTTTATATGTTAGTATTCATAAACTGTGTCTCAAGTGTTTTTGTTACAATAAACATTTTTTATTTTATTTTTTATTACATAACACAACATCACGCCTTTTATCCTCGAAGGGATAGGCAGAGGTGCACATTATGGCACTTAATGCCACTGTACCTCTGCAATGTAACACCCTCTTTTCACTCTCTATGTTTTGAGTCGCCTGTAATAGGGGGTGAGCCTATTGCCATATACCAAGCACAATGGGGATGATGACTGGATATGAAAATTAAAAATCTAATTAGTCCGTAAGTTAGGTAGTAATTAAAAAATATTTGACACGTATTTTTTTATTTTGTCGTAAAATATAATATAATAAAACAATACTTAGATAAAACGAATCAAAGTTTAGGAGTGGGGGCTAAAACGTCATTTCTTAATATAAAATGTACATAGAAGTGACGTCACACGACATTTCAAATTAATATATCTTCAAAACTATTCGTTTCCATAAGAAAATAAAAAATTCGTATCTAATGTTCTTAAACAATCTAACAGACGGACATTAAAATAAAAATTAGTCGTCTACCCTATTCCAGACCCCGTGCCACTACTGAGCATTTTTTAAAAAACCCAGTAATACTTTGCCCAACCCGGGATTCAAACCCGAGACCCCTTGCCCGGCAGTCGCACTACCGACCACTCGGCCAACGACGCAGTCAATAGGTTTATTTTTTATTCATCAGTTTTATTTGTTTTACAGCAAACGTAGGTAGAAGTGCTGCTGACTCTCCGCCCTTGAATGATAGGGCCGTTCATTTGGCTTTAGAAACCGTCCTAGAATTTAACGACAAAGACAAAGAATCAGATCTAAAGTTTCTAGACAAAGTAAAAAGTCTAATAAACAAAGTTAAGACTGTGATTGATAAATCAGGCAGCTATAGAAGGGAGTTCAAAGATGGGGACATTGAAACACTCACTGATTTTATACAACAAGCTGTCAGTATACTAAACTCATACGACGACGTAACATTTGATGATTTCTTCAAAACTCTAGACGATGAAGTACGAAAATATCATTACAGGGGATGTAAGTTTCATGAATTGATGGAGAATTTTGAAATTAGGTCGTTGTTAGGTACTGCATTTGATTTGATTAAGGCAAAACCAGTCCAAGTTATAAAGGCATACATGACCGTGCTTGCTGATACGTTGAAAGATGAAAGTTACGATAGCAATGTTAAAGAAATCATAAATTACATCAATTCCTTGTACGGGACAGAGTCTAAAAACAAACTGACAAAATTTTTACAAGAAATTGACAACTATGGGAAAGGTACGTCGGAGAAGAAACACAGTACTTTAGTCAGAATCCTTAGAGATGGGATCCGGTCGATAGTATTTGATCATTATACAGAATTGAACCCTAATGCAAGAAGAGAGTTGAAGGCCAAAATAGAAATGTACTTGAAAAAGTGCAAGGAATCTCCATCTAATTTAACTAGTAATAATGTCAAGTCAGAAACAATACCGAAAAAGTCGCTCCGACACGGCGTATATAAGAAAGAAACTATAAAACTATCAGAAAAGAAACTGGCCAGAATTGATATAAATCCAAGGGATTTTAAAAAGAAGTCTGTTGAAAGATTTTCAGGGGATGAGAAAAAAGGAACTCGACACCATAGAAAAGAAAAGAAAAGACAATTGAAATTTCCCGCAATCCCTGTACCAACAGTAAAAGAAGAAGACAAAGAATTGAGAGCCGAATCACAAGATGAAGAACTATCATCACTATCCTCGAGTTCTGAAGAAGATGATGAAGGAACAGACGAAACCGTTGAAAGAAACTCCATAGATATCTCACCAGAAAGAAAGAAAGCATACAATACTATGAGATATATAACACTATATCCTGAAGCAATTACAAATGTCCCGAGAAACAATGACAAAGATACAAATGTCGTTCATCGATCAGGCAGAGCCACCACACCAAGACAACACAGATTCCTAACCATGTGGGTGGAAGAATCGACAGGAGGAATTCCGCAATACATACTGAATAAATACAAGGCCACAACGCTGAAACCACGCAAACAAAAGCATAAGAAAGCAAACACGAAGAAGGAGAAGAAACATAAGAAGAAGCACACGAAAACTAAAGACAAATATCATAATACAGATGAAGGTAGAGAAAGTACAAAGAAGAAACATGGACAGAAATATAAAACACATCATAATACAAGATATACAAAGAAATATGTAACAAAACACACAACTACATACAAACCTAGCCGTGAACATCATTATACTTCCAAGAAACATAAAAGTAAACCAAGTTATGAGAAACTGA